CAAATCTACCTGCGTAACGGACACACCCGAGTCCGATACGTGAAGGCCATGGGGCTAAGAAAACCGAACTCGAAAGCATCCGCTTTCCCGACTCCAGCGGCGGATCTGGTCTCCGGGCCGGCCCTACACCACGAGCTGGCCAAGTGAGTTCGTCTTTATTCATTGCGGGTCGCCAAACCGCGGCTGCTAAGCCTCCCCGAACCTGTGCTGGGCTTAGGTTTGGTCCACAAAAGCTACCTAGTATATTCAGGTTTTTGATTTAAAAACTGAGTTTGTTCAGGTTAGTAATAACTTTATCTTTTTCTGGTTTTCGATCAAAAAACTGAATTTATCATAAACCAGTTTCAGGGAGCTACCATACCTCCAAAGTATAGTCAGTCCTGTAATTCATATATCACATTGAACAGACTGAAAAATTATTAAACTGCTCCTTTCTGAAGTCGGTTGAAACATGGATAGAGTCAAAAACTTACTACATACTTGAATAAAAATTGAAGTTACTGCAATTGTTGGCATAGGTTGTCCATGATAGAGCCAAGCTGCAACTGTATTAAGACTTTTAAGGACTAAACGTTCCAATGTACGCGTAATCCAGGTATGTTGAATACCAATAGGGCACCTTTATGCATTGTGGGATTATGAACGCGTGGAGACAATGTGCAACTAAATACCAACGGGCGACGACTCGTCGTGAGTCTACACGCGTACTCAAATTGTATACGCGTTGTTGCAGGCAGGCTTCTATTACTCGAGCTACCTGAGTGAAATAATTACCTATAATCGCTAGGCGTCCTGGGGCTAGCGCGATGTAGGCGACTTAATGTTAAAGTTTTTTTAACGCTGTTTACGTAAGTATTTTTATGTAAATACTTATTAAAATAGTTTTTGTTTAGTGTTTAGTATATTTAATTGTAAGATAAAAAAGTTGAAAAAGTTTTAATGTAAGTAATTTAAATATTATATATTATTATGTATATTATCTACTTGATAAATTATAATGGCAAAACTTCGTTCCTACTATAAGTGTTAAGGGCACCAACAGATGGTGTCATATCATATTTTAGAAGGAAGTTATAAAAGGTGAATTTATTTCATTTTTTCGTTAGATAAGTACCTACTTACAGCAAAAAAAGAATTAAGTAATAATTTACAGAAGTAATACCTAAGTAATTTATTACAAAAATTAGTTGAAATTTACTTCACTATCCAAGTATCTACTTACATACCTATACTTGAGTCGTCTAGTTTCAAAAGCCACTAAAATAAGTTCTGCTTATTTTCCTCAAACTAGTAAAAACTTCTCGTCATCGATAAATGTTAAAGACAATACACTTTTATGTATGATATGAACCCACAGAATATGCCAACACTTTAAAATCCTTTTTCAGCAACAAATTAGTTAAATAATCTTTTATTTTAGCGGCTTATGAAACACACTCCTGAAATAAGAGGAATTTGATAGTAACATGTCACTTTTTGGTGGGTTTTGCAACTGACAATATCTTAACAAACGATGGTGTTTATACAAGATATTGACAACCACCAAGAACAATCAAACTAAGAAAGTAGGTGAATGTAACTTTCATTAGATCTCATAAAAATCCAGAATAAAGTAATTTCTTTTGATTGATAATATAAAAAAATAGAGATAAATCTGTCATAGGCATGAAATAAAAGATTTTATTGTGTTTTTATTAATTTAATTTACATACCTAATAAAAAATATAATAAAAATGAAGGAATTTAAACGTGACAAATATTATCCGTAAATCCTGATTCACACGAACCAGTCTCTTCTGACAATCTCAGAAAGTCTTCCTTTTCAGCGGTTCTCTCCATTACAGTTTAAAAAAAATCAAATCTTCCAAATTTCTCCTCTCATCTCCATAATTTTTTTAAGAAATATATCGACGTCTTGAAGTTTTGCTTGTTTTATGTAAACACGATTTGGCTGGATTACTTGAGGAGATATCATAGCGATTTTTTTTATATTTTTTGTGATAGTCCTTTTTTCGCGTGTTTCTATTCTATACGTCTCTTCTCCCCGTACTAAAATGTTTTCTGTTTCCTTTCTTATAATAAAAAAACGACGGGTTGCACTTCTGAAAACTTGAATATTAACGTTGTTCATTTTTGATATTTTGGAATGATTAGGGAATAATTTTGCACGAATTGCTTTAATTATCACACACGAACATTCGCGCAAGCGCCCTGCGCCGCCTAACAGCGGCTCTATACGTTGGCCAACACAGTGGCGAAGATATTGGCCGAGAGTTTGTGACGGCATCCACACGTTGAAAGGTCGTTCAGTTTGCTTCGGTTCAGGCTTCAGGCCAATGTGCGGACGGATTTATTTTATTTTAGACGACGGCTCCGTGGCGCAGTGGCTTAGCAATGAGTGGCTGCGCCGGGGACCGCGGGTTTGAATCCCGCACGGAAAAAGTATTTGTAGGTCCTACAAATAATTGTTCCGGGTCTGGATGTGTGTCCTTGTGCAATTTATGTTTGTAAGCTGCCTCCGATACAGGAGAAAATCCAAGTGTATTTTTTTTACGTTAACGTTTTTATAAAATAATTATAAAAAAATAGTGAATATTAATGGGGCTGTTAATAGATATACGATATACGATTAGCTTTATTTATTCTTTACATGCATCATAAACTGGAATAAATACCATTAATTAGAACTTTACTTATTTTAAAGTTAAAGGAGTTATAATCAATTAGTCTATCAGACATGTGATGTAGGTATATAAAAAACACCTTATAATTTATTTAGTAATTTTTTTTTGAGAAAGACAAAAACAATACCAATAAATATAATTAACACTGACTTAATAATAGATACTAATTATAACTTAGAACATAAATGAAAAACTCATGACAAGGAAAGTGGCTCAGGACCATGATTTGCAACAGTCTGTGGAGGAGGATGTTCAGTAGTGGACTTATGAAGAGCTGTAATGATGATGATGATTCGTAAACCTGCACGATTAAATTATAAGAAGTCGACGTTTTTTTATAGGATAGGGTGACAAACGAGCACACAGTCCACCTGATGGTAAGTGGTTGCTGTGGCCCACAGACATCTACATCTACCCTCGATTACGAATCAAAATGCAGATGCGTTGTCACCCGTGAGGACTGAGGACTAAGATGAAATGCCTCGTTTCCTTTAAAAAGGGCCTTTGGTTCTCTACACTCATATCACTATATACTATTTTATTAGATATTATTCTGTGAGAGCGTGGTGCTTCCCCGGTCGAGCCGACCCATTCATACTACAACTATACATTTAATATAACTGCACGGTTCTACCACGTATAAACGACGTGCTTCATTTTTTTTTCATTTTAAAATTGTTCTCGTAATAATCTGATTGAAAATAAATGTTCATTTTTTTGATAAATAGCTTATCGATTAAAACAAATGTTTAAAAATAATTAAATCGCGCTAATTAAAGTAGTAGGAATGTTTAAAGTTGAAATTGGCACTAAAAGGCTGGTAATTGGGGCATCCACCCTACAAAGCGTGAATATATTTAAATCAGATGCGTTTAATCACTCTGGGAGCTTGTAGCAAATAGACATGTGTCAATCATGCATGATTCGTTCGTTTGAGCTGGTACTTAAAAGTATTGATGGTCCATTCATTTGTTTTTGAATGTACCAGTACAACCAATCACAAACTACTGACGGTACCTTTTTAACCCGCGATTTGTTTGAATTGTGAATGAGCCGCAAACTGGCCGAATCCCGAATAATCTGAATAAACAGGCGAATCGAATTAACAATGCAGACTGCTGAGTATCAAAGAGTATTTATTATTTAAGGGTTTTTTTATTATTATTTTATTTTATTATTTATTATTATTTTATATTATTTTATTATAATATTGTTACCTAAATTAAATATTCTTTAACATTTTATTATATTTAATTGTTGTTATATCTATGAGTTAAAAATATCATTTCGTAAAGTTTACTAAAAATAACACTTCAAAAGATTACATGACAAATGATTTATATAATATGATAATTTTCAACCAACTTATAGAAGTATAAGATAAGATAGGTAAAAGTTTAATTTTGTAGCAAATAAATGTTACAATCCCTATTTTTCGACATGTAAAGTAAGATGAAATTGTATATTGTTAGGAATGAAATTTAAGAATAAACAAATTTATTAAATATATAATATAATTGAATAAAGTAATCAATTAAAATCAAATCAATTGAATCACTTGAAGTTTTGTGTTTACGCCATCTAGCGTTGATTGTGCTTACCACCTTGAAAGTCAATAAGTCTTAGTTCGACAAAATGACTTAATTACCTATAGCATGTAGTAGATGGCGCTATTACAAATCTCAAATAGAAAATTTTCGGTTCCCAAGGGATCTCACAGACTCACAGAGTATTGGAGCCCGAAATGATCCATTTGAATGATCGATCCGAATGTACCAGTACGCGTGACGAAATGTATTAAAATGATTCGATTGCTAGAAATGATTGATTGACACATGTATAGTAGCAAACTAAACGCGTGCCCAACGTGTGGACGCGGCGACGGCAGGCATACATTTTCGCCGCGCCGTAGAAAGAGAGGGAGATACTTCCGCTACTACGCCGCGCCGGCTGTCTCTCTCTCTCCATCTGTCTTACGCATTTTCGATCAGGGTCACGTGTCCCGATGCGAGTTTAACATTTTTTACCCATTACAAAAAGTGTACAACGCCGCTAAAGAAGTTTTCACTTCAAAAACCTTTTTGCTTTCACAAACTGAAAATGCCAAGACGTAGTAGGTTTAATGACGGACTCGTAACTTTTTTCCAATCAAATACAGGAATTGATGCTAGATCTTTGCGCATACCATTTTGTATTAGAGACAGCTGCATATTCGGATGGAGAGGTTATCACTTCTTTAGTTTGCAATATTTTCTGAATTTTGGCAAACAACCTGTCTGGAGGTATAAAGGAGTGACCTACAACGGGGAAGATCAGCTATATTTTCCTGATATTTGTTGGGGCTTCTGTGTACAGTGTTGTACAGTACAGTTCTGTGTATCTACCGAGCATAGCTATCATGCCTGTATTTTTGTTTTGTCCGGCGTAACCGTCGGACACTATTCGTAGAATATTTATTTTATCTCCGAATTCAAAGTTTTTGAAGAAATCGTAAACTGCGCTAATTATTTCATTACTAACTTTGCAGTGTGAAGTTTCATCCCAATAGTAGGAATAAATGTTATTTTTGCCCAGTTTAGCCATGGAATTTCCTACAACAATGGCGATTGATCCGAAACTTTGGGCATAGCCTGGTTTTTTTAGCAATCGAAGGTTTAAGAATTTCATTCTCTTCTTGCAATATTGCATGGAAGACTTTGTATTTAAGGCGATGAATTGTTTTTCGACCATAAGTATCTTTTTATTTGAAGCATCCTTCTCCGTTTTTATGCGTTCTAACAGTTCAATGCACGTTGAACACACGTCGGTTCTAGGATTCCCAAAGCCTTACTTACTTAGAATTAAAAATATGTCTGAAAAAACTTTGTTTAATTCTCAAATCCTCGTTACGGGCGGCGTTATACATACGCCACATCTTACGTATTGTCAAGCCTGAAGGAAGATATTTCTATTGATACCTTTCGAACGACAATAGTGACTCTCTTGTCCCTGAAAGGATTCGATGAATCATTCGACAGATAACCTTTTTGCTTCGTATTTTTCTCTCTTTCTGTCACCTCCACGTTTCTCTTCTGGCATTTCACCTCCGCTACTTAAAAATCTGTCCATTACGCCCTGTATTCGATATTTCTTTATAATTAGTGCTCTTATGAAAGTTTTTTGACATACCGGTATTTTGGTCGTATTTTTACGTATAGTATACCTACTTAATGGCAACTTTTCTTTTACTGTTAGGTTTTAATGACTTAGTTTCTGATATATTACAACATTTCAGTATAACTTCACTTCACTTCACTTTCATAGCACACTTATAGAAATTCTTGTGAAATTTTCTTATATCTTGACATGATAATTCACTACATCGAAACGCCTTTTGCTTGTGTCCACACTGCGGAAAATGCGGCAAGCTTGAGGGTTTGTATCTAAAACCAAAATAACATTTTAAATAAAAAATTTCAGAAATAAATGTTGCTTATAAAATATGATTTTAGGATGAAATTCAAAGACTTAAATAATTAATACTAAGAGCTACTTCTTCAATCGACACATCGACGAAACGACAATCAAAGGCTTAAAGAATTGCGATTTTGAACTTAAAATAATCAACATTAACAAAAGTTAACGCAGGTATTTAACAATAGGTCAACATTTTTTGGTTATGGCTTCTGTGTTACCACATATCTATACACGTATCTTTTCTAAATTTATCAAATATAATTAAAATTACTACACTCCAAATAATGCATAACAAATAAAAATAGCTACCAAAGATATATGAAGGTAAACGTTCGTATTTACATGAATAATAAAACAATATTAAAATAGAACACGCTGCAGTTTTATGTTCCATAGGTACCTACTACATAATACCATTCTTGCTAATGTCGAAGCTGATTTTAAAGGGTGAATCATGTACCGTTTTTCGCGTAGAATCTCAAGTTTCCAGGTTGCTTTATTCACAGATCGTTTCCTTGTCTTTTTTTGGATCACATTTCCTCATAAATTTCATTAAATCCTCCATTTTTTACGGATAAAATCTTTAAATTTCCAAAACACAGATCTACACCACGCAACAAAAATCGCCATCTTGTTTGCATAGTTAATTAGGTTACGTGTCAAAAATGATGCGTTACTATTGGTAAGCCAGTTTATAGGGGCTTTTGAAAGCCACATGCAAGGTTTTAGTGGATTTTGATCCCAATTGTTGACTTTATAACAATTTTTGTTAATGTTTTAGATATATTTGACACTAACTGAATGGCTAAACTTAAGTACTAATGAAACGCTTTCATAAAATAATATAAGATTGATTTTAGGATAAAATCGTTTTAGGTGGTTTTGAAACTAGATGACTCACTTGTCTTTTATAATTAAAATACTTTTAGTCATAGTAACACAAAATACTGAAATTAAAACTTTGTATACTTATACAAGATTTTTAACTAAGTGGAATAGATCACATTTATGTTAGGAATCGTATTTCAGGTTTATTTGTTGTTTACACTATCTAGCCACGGTAATACTATCTATACAGTATTCCAACTTCATACAAATGGACGAAGCGAGAGCTATGCCTATGCGCCTCGATCTCGGCATGCAGATAGTCGAGACTGTGCCGCAGTGATGATTTTGTGAAATATATAAAAAATGGAGGAAATAAATAATAGAATAGAAATAAAGAAATAATAAATCTGAACTTCATTTAAAAACAAACATATAAATTGTAAAGTAGTTGCAGGTATCTATAACCAATTATATAAAAGATATTCCTTTTCTCCACGTTGTCCATGTTTCCCAAAACAATTTTTAATTTATATTATTTTTAGCTTTATATTAGAAAGCGGATTTTTTTATATTTAAAAATCTAATAATAAAGCATTTCGTAAGTATCAGCCGAGGTGCAAATATTTTTCGGTCGCTAATTTATTTAACCGATTAAATCAAAAAACGACACGCATTTTTATTGAACACTTCCTATTCAATTCACAATGTACCTATTTTATTTGTTTATATAAAAAGTATATATTACAATCATAAAACTAAATGGAAACACAAAGTAGGCAAATGTAAAAATGCTGGAGGCAGGCAGCCCTCGCACATGTTTACGTGCCGCACGGCTGTAGGCATTTATTTGAAAGATACGGCTGAGTTACAATACTGTATAGATAATATTACCGTGATCTAGCTATTTCTTTCGAACCAAGCATCGCGATTCCCGACAAATGACCTTGCAATTTGCATGCGTTACGCATTGCAGAACTCACATAGGGGCGAAAATATGGTCAATGAATCATGGTTAGAACAGGTACTTCACCTAAGTAATTAACATTTCGCAATGTATTTTTTTACTCTTTTTTGACATCCCTTAGTAACCACGGAAAGACCGCCATGACTTAGGAAGGGAAAAAAGGCAAAGTAATATGGACACTCGTGCGCAGCGATAAAGTTTTATTTAGCTTGCGTGCGCGATTAATCTAATTAATAATAATTATGTAGGCTAATAAACGTCGGCAAGCAGTCAACATCAAAGGAGTGTAATTTCTGTACGTAGTATTATTTATTCTGTGCTGCAGGTATTTTTTTTTTGCGCCCGAAGCAAATATGGGCAACCCTCCGGAAAGCGGGGGAGGGAGGTTGAGAATGCTCATAGCATACCACGCAGCCGGCTGCGTGGTTATGTGGAGACTTTTATCCACTAAACTCAACCTTTTAGGAATTGGCTTAACGATCTGACTAGAGATCTCTAAGCCGTATACGAACGCGACCCTCCTTGGCAGAAAGGAGGGCGCAAGTGTTGCAGGTACGGACTAGCGTATGTTGGAACGCATCATGTACACTGTCTTTAAAATATAAATAAATATATATAAAAAACGTGATCCCTGTTAAATACACATTCCAAATACAACGGCTGTAGTAAGTTCGACAAATAAGACGACACACGCACATTTGGCCATTCGAGTAGAATACGAGACAAAAACAATGTAAGTTAATTCCTCGAAATTTAAGAAATGAAAAGTTAGTTCCAGGAAATTTAAGAATGAGCCATAAATAGCAGAGGCAGGGCCTGGGTTTCGCACAGGCCGACTGGGCTGGAGCCTGGGAGCAAGGTCCGAGGGGCGCTGAACTTGCTTTTGCAAGCACACATATGTACAGAATAAAGTTTGATATATATAACATCCTCAATAAATAATAGAGTAAGTGTTGCAAGTATTTTACTTGTTGTTCTTTATTTTTGGTACAAAACAATAAATAGATCATAAAAATAAGACCTTGTATTATTTGGTACCCTATGTCTACCATTGACTGACTGCAGGTGGTTTAAATATTTTGAACCGCTCAAGCTCTCTTCACTGCCTCAATTTTATTAACAAATCAGACAATTTGTGCCAGGTAAACATACTCGTCAACAACTTCGAATGTAAGGCTCCCAATAAAACACCAGCATAGGTGTGACATGGATATAACGAATCACCTTTGTTTTGTCCATGTTCGTTTTAAGAAATATCCGTGAAGAGAAATTATGTAGTCGTTGAGCATTGTCCCGCGATTTTGCCATAAGAACTATATCGTCGGCAAATGAAAGGTGAGTGATGTACTGTCCATTTATGTTGATATCGTATCCTTTCCATTCCAGTAGCTTGAAAACACATATAATTTTAAGTTAGTCTTAAGCGAGTTCTTGTAGCGATTAAACATCTTTTCATTAATAAATTAGTATTTTTAAAACGTCCTCCGGCCCCTGCATAATTTGACTAGCGTCTTCCAACCAATAACATTTATGTTTTTGACATGGTCCTACAGATTTAAACAGAATATTACTAAAATAAATACATATCAAGACAACTAAGTAAATATAAAATACAATATAAATATTATTTATGTTTCAATACCTCCAGATCTTTATAGAAGCCAGTTATTTTATTTTTACATACACAAACTTCAACTTTATTTATATGTATATACATATGTATAGATTAAAATTTAAATAGAAGGCTTCGTCTTATCTTAAAGATAAATTTCAGTATCTTCCTTTTTATTATGACGGAGTTCTTCGTTTCTCATCCAAGTACGTGTTGAGAATTCCTTAACACTTAACCAATTCTGTTGATAAATCTTTCACTATTCAGGCTACACTTCTCTGAAAAATTTTGCCCGTAGATATTAGAAAAGCTCCTTATAAGTTAACACTTAAAAAGTTAGTACGCAAACACTTGTTAAATACATCAGGATAAGTTAATATGGACGATTGACTATGCTATGTTGTCTTTCAGTCGAAAACAATAACGCTGAAATGGAGATGAACTGGTCATATGCCGAGAAAAAAGACAGAAAAATATCTCTAAAAATGTAATAGGATGGTGCCCGAGGAATTGAAAAAGATGTAGAGGATAAAAGTGGGAGGATGATATTATGCCAAAGGGTGGGGGAGAATTAGAGGAGGTCTATGTCACAAGACAATCTGACCTTGAAGCTAGAAAATGAAGTTAAAAATAATACTAAGAAAAAATTATAATTATTACCTATAGTTCACTCTATGGTGTGTTGCCTACTGTCGATATTTTTCATGATACTTTCCCTAAATATAGGAAAAATGTAATACATCAATCAGTATTATAAATGATTTAATTATAATCTATTATCCATGTTTCTTACAGCTGCCGCTTAGTTATATGCATGATTTTATTGTATTAGTCATAAATTATCTTTAGATAATATTTTTTGCAACATAT